CCCCTCAGTTAAAATAGAATGTCCCTAGAAAATACAGATTTCAGAAAATAGATTTCCACAATTTTCCTTAGGCACCCATGAGAGCCTTCTGCTATTTATAAATTCTCCCTCATTATTAAAAGAAACCTGAACATGTAAAGTCTAATGTTTTTCCTGAATGCAGCAGTTTTACTTACAAAGTATAAGGATGTGTTCTTTCCTGCACTGTTTTCCAGAAAGGGGCCTGAGGAGCTGGGTTCTGTGTTCTACCCAGAAATAGGTAACATATATAAGAAGCTGTATCTCAGACTGTCTGAAAGCTCTTAATAAACCCCTGGTAGAGATTTCTCCAGCCCCCAGAGTATGAAGTTTCCCAAGGGTCCTTTTTACTTCATGGCTTCCTTCTCCTTCTGCTTCATGCACTTTTATAGTTTCCATGAATGAACTGCTGTTGCAGGTCTTTGAATTTATGTGTTGATAAAATTTTCTTAAAAGTAAATTTGTGAGTAACCACACCCTCCCAAAAGAAACCACAAGATTGCCCCTCATCTTCACACCATTCCCATGCCCAACTGATAAATTTATCTTCCTCCTATATTATTTAGGTGAATTTCGTATATTTTTAGAAACACCTCTGCTTCTGCTTCACTCTATTTCCCCCAAAAATCTTCATTTATTCTTTCATGGAGCATTTGAAGTACCTTTCATATTCTAGGACTTCGTACTGGTAATACAGAGAATGGAACAGAGTCTTTTCTCTCCAGAGCTCCTTCTGGAAACAGACATAAAACTCAGTGATTACAACAAGGGATATTTATGATGACAACACAGAAGAGCTTGTGTTTATCCTTCAGGAAACTCAGCACCAGGTCTGTCAGGAGACAATGGAGCACAGAGCGTGGGAAGAACAAAAGGACTAATAACAGACTCAGGCTCACTTGGAACCCTGGTGCCAGTGTCGGGGAAAGTGGCAAGAGATGAAGCTAAATAGGGAGACAGGATTCATGTTAGGCATGAAGATCTTTCAGGCACCCTAAGTCATTTGAATCTAAATAACATAATACAAATTACTCAGCATGGAACTTTATCTTTGCCATTCCCTAGAAAATCACATTTCTACAGCTCCACGTGAAGCAGCTGAGAAAGTCAGGCACCTTATTTGAGAATCCCTAATATATTGCGGTTCTCTGCTTGGTGTCAATATCAACCTGAATGGTACAAATACCACATTTTCCCTCTAAACTCTGATATATCAGTTTACAGAAATGTCAATTTAGAAAACATTCTCAAACAGAACCTCAATACCCCCTCACCTACTCTTTCAAATTCTACTTCAGATTAACCAGACTACTATTTTCAGCATTGGTTCTTACAGTTTTTTTTACATTATTATTATACTTTAAGTTCTGGGGTACATGTGCAGATCATACGTGATTATTGGCCATGGTCGCTTGTTGCACCTATCCCCCCATCATCTAGATTAGGTATTTCCAATCTAATGTTATCCCTCCCCAATACCCCCACCCCTTACTTTCCCTCCCCTATCTCTCCCAACCCCCAGCAAGCCCCAGTGTGTGATGTTCCCCTCCCTGTGTCCATGTGTTCTCATTGTTCAACACCCACTTATGAGTGAGAACATGTGGTGTTTGGTTTTCTGTTCTTGTGTCAGTTTGCTGAGAATGATGGTTTCCAGATTCATTCATGTCCCTGTAAAGGACATGAACGCATCCTTTTTCATGGCTCCTTAGTATTCCATGGTATATATGTGCCACATTTTCTTTATCCAGTCTATCATTAATGAGCATTTGGGTTGGTTCCAAGTCTTTGCTATTGTAAACAGTGCCACAATGAACATACGTGTGCATGTGTCTTTATAATAGAATGATTTATCATCCTCTGGGTATATGCCCAGTAATGGGATTGCTGGGTCAAATTTCCATTTCTAGATCTTTGAGGAAATGCCACACTGTCTTCCACAATGGTTGAATTAATTTACACTCCCACCAACAGTATAGAAGCACTCCTATTCCTCCGCATCCTCTCCAGCATCTGTCTCCAGATTTTTTTAATGATCACCATTCTGACTTGCATGAGACAGTAGCTCAAAGTGGTTTTGATTTGCATTTCTCTAATGACCAGTGATGCTGAGCATTTGTTCGTATTTGTTGGCTGCATAAATGTCTTCTTTTGAGAACTATCTGTTCATATCCTTTGCCCACTTTTTGATGGGATTGGTTGTTTCTTTCTTGTAAATTTGTTTAAATTCTTTGTACATTCTGGGTATTAGCCCTTTGTCAGATGGGTAGATTGCAAAAATTTTTTCCATTCTGTTGGTTGCCAGTTCACTCTAATGATAGTTTCTTTTGCTGTGCAGAAGCTCTTATGCTTAGTTAGATCCCATTTGTCTATTTTGCCTTTTGTTGCCATTGCTTTTGGTGTTTTAGTCATGAAGTCCTTGCTTATTCCCATGTTTTAAACAGTGATTGTTTCAGATGTACTATAAATAAAAGCAAAATGTATAGACCTTAGTATTGGATGTTTTCAAATTCAGAGTATAATACAGCTAGTAGGGATAAATGAAAAGTATAAGCTGTTTTAAAAAAAATACTTAGAAAAAAGAAACCAAATATAAAGCATTACTTTATAAAGAGAGAAAATAAATATACTTCAAAGTGGAATTTAGTAAGGCACATGTAACTATACTATGTAAGATTATCTATAATTAACACTTCATAAATTACATTATTGAAGCATGAATCAAAATTGCTGCTTTACACAATAACATTCTTAGTACATTTATTTTTAAGATATACCCAATAATGTGGTTCCCCATCTTCAAAATTATTTTTCAAAACTTTTCCTGACCATCTATATGAAATTTAAATAATTTATGTTTATGCTTTTATTGCTTAGAAATGAATGCATATTATATTTTCTCTATTAAACAGTATATTTCTAGGAGCTATACTTTTCTTATCAAGTCAAGTATTTCCTGGGCTGGTTGTTTTTCCATTGGCTCAGGCTCCTCCTGGGAGAAAGAGAGCCCACCTCATATGATTACCATTAGTATATGGCATAATGTACACAATTTGTAAGTAACAAGTGATTAAAATATTGCTTCAATTTAGCTATGTTTAGTCAGATTTAAACACCTTATGAATGAAGCTTGTGCTTTCCCTGTTCACTGTTTTATCCCTAGTCCTCCCTCCCGCAGTGTTTGCCAAAATGAAGTTGCTTAAAATATGTAAGAATATATGTAAAGTTATTTAAAAATAATATTAATTCAATAAATATGCATTAAGTAGCCATTATTAATAAAGCACTGTGCTTGTATCTGTGCAAGATACATCAATCCCCAAAGTCCAATGCACATTTTCAAAAAGTTACAGTTCAGTAGGGGAAGAGAAATCTGACTACCCATAAGACAAAGATTTAATATCAGCACCTGAAAGAACAGTAAATGGCACAGTCAGGAAAAGAAGGAGGCGGGTATTTCAGTCAGAGAGAGCAAAATAATCAAAGACCTAGAGGCGATATATTCCTGGCATTTTTCAGAAATATATATAATTCCTCAAAGTGGATAGACCCCAGAAAAGTATTACTCTGTCATACATGATAATCTGTAAATGTCTTGTCAAAATGTAAATTTGTGTGTTCCATCTCAAGGGCTTCTGTTTAAATAGTTCTAAGGTAAAGTTGAAAAATCTGCACTTGAAAAATGAATGTCTAGTGGTTTGGATGCACAGATGCTGAACCACATTGAGAAAAGTGATAGATGCAAGTAGGAAATAGATGTCAACTGTGAGTGTATTCAGTGGATTGTATGAGGCCAGATCTAGGACTTCGTACTGGTAATACAGAGAATAGAACAGAGTCTTTTCCCTCCAGAGCTCCTTGGAAGGAACCCCTTGTGGAAACAGACATAAAACTCAGTAATTACAGAATGGTATCTGTGAAGACCCACTGGAATGAAGAACTCATGGAAGATGAAGATATAAAAAAGTTTTGTTTTGTGGGAAGGTGTTAAGTGAAAATTACTTCACTATCTAAAAAGAAAAAGAAACCCTTTTTATTGAACATTTATAAAATGCAGGAAAGTGTAAAGAATATGTCAACAAAATAATATACAGCTATCAAATATGTGGCATTTTAATGTTTGGGATATGTTTATTTATACTTTTGTAATGTGCATATACACATATTCACATGAAATATATACACAGTAGTAAGTACTTTGTATACTAACCTACCTTTTTTTAACAAAACATAATTTATATTTGCATCATTATTTAACTTGTTACATCATATTTTATATTTTATTTAGTCAGTACCCTAAAGTAATTATTTAAGCAGTTTCCACATTTTCGTTGCAATGTTTAACAAATGCTGTGTTGGACATCACAATATATCTTTACATTCTTGCCCATTTTTCTTCTTTAGACATATATTTAGACAATGCATCCCCAGGTCTTGTACTATTAAAATACTAATGCATTTACCAAAATGACCTCAAGTGCTCTTTTAAGAATTAGGAAAGTACTCCTTTTATTCATACTTCTTCTTGCTTATTGTGCTTATTCATATTCTTCAGCCATTTACAATCTATCAGGTAGAATAATGAATCATTACAAATAAACTGTAAGAATTACTGAAACCTAGACTTTGCCTACTGATCTATGTTATATGAACCCTACCTTGGATAGCTACATACTTTAGGGGTGGTAAGACTACCTAAATGGCAAGTATGACTTCATTTGTGCATGCTTTCAGACATATTTTAATGGTGGGCCTGTACTGTGCTAAGTTCAGTATTCATGATAGAATCAGATGTACTGACATAATCTCTTCCCTCAAATAATCCACCATCTAGAACTGTGTAAATAGTAAGTTAGTGGATCATCAGAATATAGACAAAGCATGTTGAAACTGGCTTTTTCAACAAATAGCAGTAACTCACAGTATTGAATGATCAAACATGGGTCAGGGAAGACTTGGTAAAGAAGGGGTACACTCAAAATTTCCTAAATTAGCTTAGAAAGAAATACTTTGAGCACAGCCTTGCGAATTTGCTTGGTCTTTACACTGTAGATTATGGGATTCATTACAGGAGGGATAAGCAGGTAAACATTGGCAATGAGCGTGTGCACAAGGGGAGGGGCATGCCTTCCGAATCTGTGCACTAGTGACAAACTGATCATGGGGATATAGAAGATGGCAACTGCACTAATATGAGCGACACAGGTACCAAAAGCCTTTTTCTGCTCCTCTGGGGAGGCAATGCAGAGCACAGAGTGGATAATCAGAACATAGGAGAGGAGGATCAAGACAGAGTCCAAGCCAGCAGTAGAGATAACAATGGCCAGGCCAAATACACTGTTGATCCGTGTGTCTGTGCATGAGAGCTTCATCACATCAGGGTGGAAGCAGTAGGAATGGTGGAGCACATGACTATCGCAGAACGAGAGGCGCTTAAGGAGCAGAAGTAGAGGCACTAGAGCTGCTGTCCCCCTAAGAACAATTGCAAAGCCCACTTTAATAATCCGTGAATTGGTTAAGATTGTGGCATATCTCAGTGGGTTACAGATGGCAATGAAGCGGTCAAAGGCCATTGCCAAAAGTACTGAGGACTCCATGAATGTGAAGCCATGGATAAAGAACATTTGGCCAATGCAGGCATCAAAACTGATTTCTCGTGCATTGAACCAGAAAATACCCAGCAGGGTGACCAATGTAGAAAGACACAGACCTAGGTCCATGAACGATAGCATGGAGAGAAAATAGTACATGGGTTCATGGAGGCTCGACTCAGTGATGATGACAAACAGGATTATGCTGTTTCCAGAGATAGCAATGACATAGAGACAACAGAATGGGATGGAGATCCAGGTCTGAGGAGTTTCAAGGCCAGGTATGCCAGTGAGGAAGAAGATTGCAGGGTGGAAAATGCTCTGGTTGAAGAATAGCATGATGAATAAAGAAGCAGATGTCTTTGAGGGAAAGAATCATGTCCTGTAATAATGGAGAATAAAAGTACTTTCACTCTTCTCTACACCACACAATGTATGATCACAAGAGAACCATGTCCTAGTCTTCAATAAAATGTATAGCCACTTACTGTTTTCTTATATGTGTTCTTGAGTGAATGAGGAGAGGAAACAGAGACTAAATTGTGTGTAAAGAAAGTTGGTTTTTGGCGAGATTCCCATTATATTACATCTCAGCTTCAGGATATCTATATATACATATATAAAACAGGATATTAGTTTCAATAATATAAAATATTTCTCAGTTCTATGACTGTAAGTACATGGGCAGACAGAATATTTCTGGGCAACCATAAGAAACACAATGGGGAAATTCACCCTGCTTTTCTTCACTTCTCAGTTTCTGAGGCAAAAACCCTAAGGTGCATTAAAATGTATAAGTTCTCGTGACCCAGTGGAAGTAAGAGAATGAGATAATATTAAATATTTTCTAGGAAATTACTTCTAATCAAATAAATATACAACAGCTGTTGAGTGAAGAAAAAAAAAAAAAAAACAAAAAACTAAGTACCAGGAAAGAAACAATGCAATCTAAGTAGAACACAGTGGGTGATAGCAAAAACAAGATTTGTTTATACGGGTAGTAATTGAGAAGTTGATTATGTTCAGAGGAAATTCTGCTTGACAAAAGAGGGCTTAAATAACCTTAATAAGAACAAAGAAACTCATTGGAAAGTCATGGATAATAACTGAAGTAGTTACCCGAGCAAGTTTCTTGATTTTTCATTTCTGCAAAAGGGCATTGAGAATAGATTGGCTGGGATAAAAAAGGTTTTCTCTAGAGATCTAAATGTAGGCTTACCCAGATCCATAAATCTGTAGGATTTAAGAAGTTTCTGTATATTGGTTCTGTCTTAAGTTTTCTGACACTGTTTTTTATCTATAGAAAGAATGTGTAGTTTTTAACATATCTGTGTCCCCCTTTCACTCATTCATACATGTATTTACTCAACAAAAATTTAAATACCTAAAGTGGTAGTATGTGCATTAGAATTAGACTTGCTACTTTAAGAAGGTCTGTACATGATTCTGAGAAAGAAAATACTTGAGTTTAAGTTAACTTGGTTATCTTCACTGCAACCCCTGAATGAAGAGACAGGAGCTTAGACATCAGTAAGAATAATTAGTTACAGGAAGTGTGTTCAAGAGGGAATTTCTCTAGGTATTTGAGAAGAAGGAAAAATGTTCAATACAGGAAGTCTCTTTGAGTACTCACTAAATATATATATATATATATAGTGGCTGGAAATTTTGAATTGAGAGGCAATGCAAGACAAAACAAAATCTATGAATTTTGGAATTAACTCTTGGATCTCAGTTGGAAGACAAGCCTCACTTTTTCATCTGTTACTTTACATAAAGGAATTGAGACATGTACCTACTTCTGCATCCTAGGAAAAGTGATCCCTGCCCTGATCATAGGGCTTGTGAAACTAATGTCTATGGTTGAAGTCACAGGATCAGTAAAAAATATCTTGGAATAATAAATCTAAGGGAAATAAAGTCTGAGGACAAAGTTCTGGGGAACAGCAGTATTTAAAGAAAAGACCAGAAGAAGCCTCCTCTAATGAAATTGAAGAGGCACAGCCACTAAGGTAAACATGATTTCCAAGAACACACAAGGACCATTTTTTCTCAGACCTATGATCTCAGAGCCAGAAAAAAAAAATGGCTGACACAGCAGCATCTAAAAATATCTAAATAAATGAATGAACTGATTCTAAAAATAGTGATAAACCCCAACACTTACTATTTCCACATATGTTGTATTTCTGATATGTGGCCCCTCAAGTTATAAGATATTTTAACAAAGGAAGAAAACAGTTTTTTCAATAATCTGATATTTATATTTGAGACAAATTTGGACCTAGTGATAAAAACATTTATTTTCCCAGTTGAAGTGGAGAGTAAGTAATGACCTTAAAATCATACACTCTTTATTTTAAAAAGGAGGAAGCAGCCTCTCAATTTAATGTTCTATTTTTTATAGTAACTAAACCCAATTTTGCAAACCAAACAGCTGATTAGGGGTTAATATTCAAAATATATGAGGAACTCCTACAAGTCAGTAGCAAAAACACAAATAATTCAATTTAAAAATGGACAAAGGACTTGAACAGACATTTCTCCAAAGAAAACATACAAATGGCCAACAAGTATAAAAAGATGCTCAACATTACTAATCATCATGTAAATGGAAATCAAAGTCACATTGAGATATCACCTCATAGCTATGAAAATAACTTACTATAAAAAATATAGCAAGTGTCAACAAGAACGAGAAGAAATTGTACAATTTTACATTCTCACCAACTATGTACAATGAGTCCACTTCAACTGGAATAAAAAATGTGAAAAACAGCACATCCATTTCTGAGTATATATCCAAAAGAAATGAAATTAGTAAGTCAAAGAGATACCTGCACTTGCATGTTCATTGCAGAATTATTCACTACAGGCAACATATGGAAACAACTTAAATGTCCATCAACAAGTGAATAGATTTTAAAAAAATAGAAGGTATGCATATAATAGAAGACTTCTCAGCCTTAAAAGCAATAAAATTTTGACACATGCTATGACATGGATGAACCCGAAGTGAAATGCTTCATGATTCCACTTATATGTGAGGTATCTCTTAGCCAAACTCACAGAAACAGAAAGTGGAATGGTGATTCCAACAGGCTAGGGAGAGGGGAAAATGGAGGAGATGCTGTTAAACAGGTAGGAAATTTCAGTTGAAGATGAATAAGTTGCAGTTCAGTTGAAGATGAATAAGTTATAATGTACAACACTGTACTTATAGTTAATAATACAGTATTGTGCAATTGAAAGTTTGAGTAAATCTCATAAGTTTTTCTTTCTTTCTTTCTTTCTTTCCTTCCTTCCTTCTTTTCTTTCTTTCTCTCTTTTTTTTTTTTTTTTTTTTTTTTTTTTTTTTGAGACAGAATCTTGCTCTGTTGCCCAAGCTGGAGTATAGTGGCACAATCACAGCTCACTGAAGCCTTAAACTTCCAGGCTCCACTTATCCTCCTGCCTCAGCCTGTCAAGTAAAGTACCTGTAAAGTAGCAATAACCATAGGCACACACCTTCACACCTGGATAATTTTTGTATTTTTTGTAGAGATGGGGTTTCACCATGTTGCCCAGGCTGGTCTTGTACTATTGGACTCAAGGGATACACCTGCCTTGGCCTCCACAGCACTGGTATTACAGGTGTGATTTTATCACAATAAAGATAAATAAAATAGCTATATTGTAAACAGCAAAAGTAAAAATAAGAGAGAAACCCAACATATTAAGTATTCAGGTATATTTCTCTTTAGTAAAATTAGTGGTAATGTATTTAGTGCCTCCTATGCGCCAATTTACTTCACTGAATCTCTGAGGCTCTCTTTCCACTGCACAATGCTCATAGCATTTTTCTTCAACTCCTATAATCAAAGGGAAACATAATAGGATTCTTGTAACACAGGGAACTCTATTAGCAAACATGGGGCCAGGAATAGCTTTTTAAAAAAATTCTATGATTCTTAAACCACCACTGAGTTGTCCTGCACTAAAACTAATGAGCAAACATTAAACTCTTCTTAAACAGATGCCTTTAAGTGTCTCTTTCTCCCCCACTGGGAATTCTTCCATGACAGGGGCTATAACTTAAACACCCTGTTACCAGACTACCAGGAACATCTAAATAGTCCTCACAACAATGCTTCACATTTATTAATATCACAACACCATTATTGGGTATTAATAATTTCCCTTTATGGATGAAAAAGCAGGTTAAGATTAGATAATCAAGGCTCAGATGAACCATATGACTTTCTCAAATTCACCCAACAAGCCAATGGCAGCTTCAGGAATTGAGCTCTTTTCTTACTCCAAATGCCATTCTCTTGCAAACCCTTTATTTAATTTTTTTTTTTAACTGTGGAATAAAACAAACACATGCTAATGACTATAGTCTATATTTGGAATAACTTTTTAACACTACAACAATATTTTTCAGTTGACTTAATGTATAAAAATATACTACAGAATTCATGCCCACAAATTTACTCTTAACACTTCTGTGTTGGTTTTATATACTATCTGAAGGTTATACAGCACCTGATTTATTTATAAAAGTCTTCAATGCACTATAACACTGACCTTGTGCACAGAATAATTCTCGGGTCTGGAAGGTGAGGTTATCTGATCCTGCCCCCTGCTATTTGAAGGATCATCCCACAGCAGAGAATCTATTAACGCAAAGCAAGCCAGAGAGAAAGAGTTATCTCAACCTCACTCAATTACATGCAGAAAGGTTCTGTACTATAGTTGCGGAATCAGTCCCCTTCAGCCCTGCCCCCTGACAAAGAAGTCCTCTTTTGCCAGGGGAAACCATAGGGAGAACATTCGGGAATAGGAGAACTACCAGATTTGAGAAAAAGAGCCTTTGTAAGGAGCCTAGAAGTCACCTGATGAGAGTCATTTACCCAGCAGAAAAGCAAATTCCTAGGGGAGAACCCTGTACAGCTGCGTCCTGCTAACCCTTTGTGCTCCAAATAACAAATTATAAAGGGCAACATATTTTTCGTCTATCTTCACTCTTTCTTCCCCAAAAGATAATTCTGTAGAATGAACTGCACTTTCAGTTCTCATTCAAGAGCAATTTGAGCCCTAAACAGCTGTGGGACAACTTTTGCCTGGAGCCAGAGTAAAGAAGAAGTGCCATGGTTAAAGGATCACTAACAGCTGAGTTTGCTCAGCTGTCATTTGCTAGTTTCACAGCAATCATGAGACATGGAACCCGAAGAGGAAAGGGGTTGCTGAGTTACTACATTTACTGAAGGTAGTACAGTGGTTTTCTGATTCAGAGCCCTAGCCCTCCCCTGAGTATTCTGAATTTCCTGGGAGTTGTTGCTAACCTGTGCATAGTC